TGGCCTGGTAGTCGCGTTCTGTCCCCGACGGAACAGCGATATTGTGTGACCCGGAGGGAGCTGTTGGCCATAGTGTTTTTTGTCCAACTGTATAGGCCCTACTTGTAGGGCAGACGGTTTATGGTCCAAACCGACCATGCGGCCCTGCAATATTTGCTGGGGATTAGTCAGCCCTCGGGTCAGCTGTCCCGCTGGCTCGAGGTGCTCCACGATTACTCCTTTGACGTAATCCACAGGAAGGGGGCAAGCATGGAAATGCGGATGGTTTATCCCAATTGCTGGCAGACGGCGGGTGTGCTTGTGCCCTGGGCTCTAGCCATTTCAAGGCCCCAGGGGACGCCGCGGCCCAGTTGGTCGCGTTGGCCAAGGTGGCCAACCCCCCCAGGTGCGGCGGTGCCCGCGGATTTCGGTCTGGGACTCCCCCGGGAGGTATGGTCCAGCTTGCAGATGGAGGATTCCTCTCTACTGAAGCTATGATGCCGCGTTGGGCGTAAGGCCCGAAGCTCAGCTTCGTCGGCTGCCCCGGCAATCGCCGTGCATGATGGACTCATGCGTTGGGATGCCCAATTGTAATGCTATTGAGTGGTTGTGCCCACTAGCCTGCGTGGTAAATTTTAGCTTACGCACCTTGGCTACCACAAGACCTTGTTGACACCTAAGCGGGTCTATTATTGGCAGGGTGTAGAGGGTGACGTGACGCTGTTTTTGAAGGGTTGTCACGACTGCGCGCGAAGGAAGGCCCCAGTTGTCCAGGACCGGGCCCCGCTGCAGTCCATCCAGGTTTCTCGCGTTAATGAGCTCGTGGCACTCGACATTTTGGTCCCATTCCCTGCATCCCAACGGGGCCATAAATACCTCTTGGTGGGCGTTGAGTACCTCACACGTTGGCCTGTGGCGTGGCCTTTGGTTGATCAGTCCGCCTCCTATCACCGAGGCGTTCATCCAGGGGTACGTGCTGGACAAGGGCGCGCCGGAACAATTGTTAACTGACGAGGGGCGGAATTTCTCATCTAGGTTGCTCAAGGAGGTGTGTGACCTCCTTGGTACCAAGAGAATCCGCACCTTGCCCTACCACCCGCAATCGGACGGGATGGTAGAGCGCTTGAACCGCACCCTCACGTCCATGTTGTGCCACCACGTGAACATGTCCCAGTCAGACTGGGACCTGTTCGTCCCAGGAGTCTTGGCGGCGTATCAGTTGGCTCCTCTGCCTCAACGGGATTTTCGCCTTTTTATTTGATGTACGGTAGGGAGCCGGAGCCCCCGGTGCACATCCAGATGGACGTCGGGTCCTCCAGAAAGTGGTCGGCGGTGCCGGTCCCTTTGACGATCGCGCTTGACCGGCTGCGTGAGGCCCGGCAGGCTGCTGCTGCGAATTCCGCCAGTCGGCAGGCAGCTAATGACCAGTTGCCCAAACACCAGCCAGCTGACCTCCCGTGGGTAGCGGGCCAAAAAGCGTGGCTGCATTGTCCCCAGGTCCCCGTTGGCACATCTGCCCAATTGCATCGCCTTTGGCAGGGCCCCGTTGAGGTCGTGGAGGTCCGCCGGCCGCAGTGCATCCGGATTCGGTTCGGTCGCCGGCGGTGGATAGTGCACCCGTCCCGGCTCAAACGTTATGTTCCATCTACCCTGGGGGATCCACCCCCATCTCCGGAGCGACCGGCAGGTGATGCGTCCGGCGTGCCTGTCCGGCCAGGCCCTGTTGACAGGGGTGGCGTCCGCCCTGTGTGTGTGCCCCCAGGGCCCTCCCAAGTAGCGCCGGCGATGACCCCTCGGTCACCGGAGGCCACGGCGGTGGCTCTGTTGCCCACTGACGGACCACCTGCACTTGTGGCGGACGCCACATGGGGAAGCGGGCCGGCAGCGCATACCCGCTCGAGGGGGATGTGGCTCCGGTGATGGCCTTGGTGGCTGTTCATCGGGCCCCAGCCCCGGTGCCCGTTCAGCGCCGCCGGGTGGATGAGGCCTGCTGACTCTATTTTCTTTGTTTTGTTTGTTGGTTTTGTTGTTTTGTTTTTGTTAGGGTTGTTGTGCCTGTGGCGCCGTGCTGCCTTAACGTTGGGTTAACTTACAGCAGCCGGTTTTGCCTGTAAGGCACAAACATTGTTCAGCTGTCTGGACTCCGGTCCGGTATTCGGCCCCGCTTCCGTCATGGTTGCAGCCGGGTCAGCTGGTTCTGTTCACGGGGGGGGGGGGGGGGGGGTAATGTAGAGGAGTAGTCGCGGACGTGACATCACACTCGCCTCCGGGGGCGATGGCGTCACGGGAAGTGACGTCATACGCGTCTGGTGGCGGGATGACATCATGTCACGCAGGAATATATAAGGGAGAGCCCGTGACGTAAACGGGGTGGTTGTTGGAGTGAAGAGTCGGAGAAGGGTGGAACGGGGAGCCAGGGGCAAGGGGGTAGGACGAGGGGAGAGCACAGCGCCAGGGCTGGAGGTGTCTGCACTCCTCGGTCGGCCGTGTTGGATGAACCCACGGCCGGTGCAGAGAAGGCGCCGGCTATGTCAGGAATTAGTAGGACCTAGCCCAGGACCCCTAACCCCTGGGAAGTTGTTCACCCTTGTGCTATTGTTGTAGCTTTGAATAAACTTACGGCGAAAGCCCTTAACTTCCGAGTCGTCTCCGAGTTGTCGTCGGGAACTCTTCTACACATTTATAAAGCACCTTTCTACTCGGTACTCAAGACAATGTGATCAGACAATTATCTTGTGCTGAAAGCATTTTCTATCCACTGTTGGATGAAGGCTTTACAAAAATATGTTGCCATCCTGCATATGCATCTGGAATTATTGTAATCGGGTGACATTGCACAGGATCTTGTTAAATAAAAATTGCACAAAAAACAAATGAGCAAAGACACACTGAAAGTACATTGCTAATACCAAGCGTTATGTTGTTACTGTATATTGAATGATATATTAATACTGCTGTGTACTTTAAAAACTGTAAATATTTTTCGATTTAAAGCTTTCGTGACTGCAATGATTCATCTTCTTTGGTTCTTTCGGTAAAGTCACGTAGAATGAGAATAAAATAATAAATTGATAAATAAATATTATTGTGAAAATATTATTGTGTTATTTTATTTTATCAATTTATTATTTTATTCTCATTCTACGTGACTTTACCGAAAGAACCAAAGAAGATGAAACTGTAAATACTTGCACATTAACTTTAATAGTAAATATTATGCACAATAACGTTGTAGTCCAGAGATAATAACTTTAATTTTGTTATACTATTGTAGTGTCTTATTGGACACGTGGTATCAAGTCACCTGCTTACACTTTATTCACCTATTCTTGCACCAGTTGTAGGCACTCCTAGAACTATCTACACGGTCACTTAGATGTAACTTCTTCAACTTGTCTCGACGTTATACCTCACCTATCCTGCCCTTGGCAGCTCTGCTCCTAGCGACTCCACACACAGCTTAGTCGCATTCAGCGTCTTCACGCACAGAGGCTTCGCACCCAGCGCCTCAGCACACAGCAGCTTCTCACACTCCACCACTGCCCTTGCCTGCGCTCCCTCAGAGCCACTCACTCGTCTGTCCCAGGCGGGGGGATCAACCATCACCCACCCGGCGACTCGTGAGGGTTGAGGTCCATTGATGGCTTGAGCGGCAGCGGCGAGATGTCTTCACTCTTGTCCCCAGCAACAACTAACCCCGCTACGTACACGTCCTTATATCTTCCTGCCAATTATCCGAGAGCTCTTGTGTGTCTCTTTAAGGCTAGCCAGGCTGGCGCCTGTCAGCCCATTAATCAACCCTTATCTCCCGTCTCCCTGGCAACACCTCTGGTGTCAGCGTGCACAACTGGTCGACCCAGTTTGCACGGCTTAGCCCCTTAATTAGGTGGCGGTTTGTTCGTGCAACCCCATATTGCACACGCGCACCTGTTTGCCCTCGGTTGCACCCGGTTAACAGTGTGCACCGTGTATTTTACTCCTCTACACTATTATGCAGTTATATTCATAAAGATTTCCACATACTAACAATAAAGTTATTAATTTCTTGCTGAAACGACTGTGATATGGTATTCAGCTATTTACAGCCGTGAGCAGTCGTGTAATTCCACATTTATATTACAAGACCAAGTCCATCCGCATGAAAACTACTGACACAGGTTTCTCAATGCGTTAGCCCCACAATATCTGCAGACACTGACCATTTTTTATACTCCGAGGTACCTGAGATATTCGGATCACCTTCCTCAAAGTACTCCGAGATCAAGGTTCTGTTTCTGCAGGTCTGATCAAGCTTTTGCCAGTGCAGCTCCCAGACTATGGAACGCTTTGCCTTTGGTAAGTCATTAACAGCTATTTAAGTCTGTCTGGCCGTTTACCCTGCAAGTTATGTTTATTTCCTGCTTTCCATACACCGCATTGAGATGTATGGATGAAATGCACCTTAGAAATGTAACTTATTATTATTAACTCACTGCATTGGCCTCAGAAGAATGACAGTCTGAGTTAACAGCAACTGCGATTTTAACTCACAGGCCTTCTGAGTTGCAAGTCATGCATTCTGACCAGGTGCCACTCAGCCAGATATACAGTGACACTGCACGTTAAAATATAATGGGCAAAAAATATTGTTTCGGTTAAATTGCAGCCAATAAAGGTGTGTGTGTGTATAATGTCTTGCATGTAAAACATTTTAAATCACCAATTTTGTAAACTCTTTCAATTTTTATCCTCCTTTAGAGTCATGCTAAGCAACTGGAAATAAGCAATAATTTCTCAACAGTACTCTGTCATCATTAGATCAAAACCTGAGTATTCGTGTTCAAGAGCCACTGCTCACGATGAGTGTTGAAAACATATTCTTTGTATGATAGTGTTATAACAAGAATTAAAAAACACATTTTAGTACGAATTCAGACAAAGAATATATCTGATGATCAGTATCATTACTTTGTATGACTTATGGGTTACTCAGCTGAGTGGTGAATGTCTATGGCACTATGCTGCTCTTGATGCATTATTACCTGGTCTTCTGAAAAGAGGACCCCACGCTGGCTGCTGATCCTTTGCAGCAGATCCCCTCCCTCGCAATACTCCATCACAATGCACAGTTTTATATGATCTGCGCAACACAAGGCCCAAACTGCCATTACGCTAGGAAATACAAAGCATTTTAATGAACGTCTGACACTATGACAGACATTAAAACTGGCAGCGTGTGTGAATCGCAATCAAAAGGTTGCAAGTTCAAATCCTGGTTGGGGGTCACCTCAACCCATTACCCCAGCAGGGATGATACAGTGAGGGAAAAAAGTATTTGATCCCCTGCTGATTTTGTACGTTTGCCCACTGACAAAGAAATGATCGGTCTATAATTTTAATGGTAAGTTTACTTGAACAGTGAGAGACAGAATAACAACAAAAATCCAGAAAAACGCATGTCAAAAATGTTATGAATTGATTTGCATTTTAATGAGGGAAATAAGTATTTGACCCCCTCTCAATCAGAAAGATTTCTGGCTCCCAGGTGTCTTTTATACAGGTAACGAGCTGAGATTAGGAGCACATTCTTAAAGGGAGTGCTCCTAATCTCAGCTTGTTACCTGTATAAAAGACACCTGTCCACAGAAGCAATCAATCAATCAGATTCCAAACTCTCCACCATGGCCAAGACCAAAGAGCTCTCCAAGGATGTCAGGGACAAGATTGTAGACCTACACAAGGCTGGAATGGGCTACAAGACCATTGCCAAGCAGCTTTGTGAGAAGGTGACAACAGTTAGTGCGATTATTCGCACAAAAGAACTGTCAATTTCCCTCGGCCTGGGGCTCCATGCAAGATCTCACCTCGTGGAGTTGCAATGATCATGAGAACGGTGAGGAATCAACCCATAACTACACAGGAGGATCTTGTCAATGATCTCAAGGCAGCTGGGACCATAGTCACCAAAAAAACAATTGGTAACACACTACGCCGTGAAGGACTGAAATCCTGCAGCGCCGCATGGTCCCCCTGCTCAAGAAAGCACATATACATGCCCGTCTGAAGTTTGCCAATGAACATCTGAATGATTCAGAGGACAACTGAGTGAAAGTGTTGTGGTCAGATGAGATCAAAATGAAGCTCTTTGGCATCAACTCAACTCGCCGTGTTTGGAGGAGGAGGAATGCTGCCTATGACCCCAAGAACACCATCCCCGCCGTCAAACATGGAGGTGGAAACATTATGCTTTGGGGGTGTTTTTCTGCTAAGGGGACAGGACAACTTCACCACATCAAAGGGACGATGGACGGGGCCATGTACCGTCAAATCTTGGGTGAGAATCTCCTTCCCTCAGCCAGGGCATTGAAATGGGTCGTGGATGGGTATTCCAGCATGACAATGACCCAAACACACGGCCAAGGCAATAAAGGAGTGGCTCAAGAAGAGGCACATTAAGGTCCTGGAGTGGCCTAGCCAGTCTCCAGACCTTAATCCCATAGAAAATATGTGGAGGGAGCTGAAGGTTCGAGTTGTCAAACGTCAGCCTCGAAACCTTAATGACTTGGAGAAGATCTGCAAAGAGAAGTGGGACAAAATCCCTCCTGAGATGTGTGCAAACCTGGTGGCCAACTACAAGAAACATCTGACCTCTGTGATTGCCAACAAGGGTTTTGCCACCAAGTACTAAGTCATGTTTTGCAGAGGGGTCAAATACTTATTTCCCTCATTAAAATGCAAATCAATTTATAACATTTTTGACATGCGTTTTTCTGGATTGTTTTGTTGTTATTCTATCTCTCACTGTTCAAATAAACCTACCATTAAAATTATAGACTGATCATTTCTTTGTCAGTGGGCAAACGTACAAAATCAGCAGGGGATCAAATACTTTTTTCCCTCACTGTAGACGCAATACCGCTGTTGCGGGAAGTCAATAATGACTTGTCCTCTGGATAAACGTCGCCCCAACATATAATGTGGCTTTTCCATCACTGGTTTCGGGCTGTACATTGGTTGTCTGTACCACCCATGCGGGGAGCAACTTAACTTTTTATTGTAAAACATTGTTATATTGAATCATAAATGTCTAATTTTCAAATGGCAAATTAGAAGATACACGTTCGCATTTAACAGTTGTTCAGGGAAACATGGCACGTTTTGTATGCCTGAGACTGACCTCTGTGACCCTTGGGTGTCTCATGAGACAAAAGTCCCTGCAATCTCTGAGCATGTCTTGCACACTGACACATATCATATCACCATTGTTTAAAATGTTATGTTCTCTGTTATTTCATTATGCCTTATAGTCATATTCCCAAGTTTAGCTTTAACGATATGAACTGTGTTGACAGAGCACTATGTATACTGTGGTATTTAAAAAAAAGAAAATATATGTATCATGTGTGGTTCAGTCCAAATGAAATTCATTTGATTAGTTTAAAGATGCTGGATTATAGCTATTTCTTGATTACCCAGATCTCGCTTCTAAATCTTACATGTTTGAACAAAAGCGCAATTTTTGTTATATATATGCAAACATAACCCTTGAGTAATAAGTAAAGGAATGCTTACCTTGAAAAGATTCCATAAAGGTGACAACGTTTGGATGCCTCATTTTGGATAAAAGTACAACTTCCTTTTGTGAGCTTTCTCGATCCTTAGCCCTCATCTTGAACATTACATCGGCCAAAACAAAACAATTACACGAATTAAGCAGAAATATCATCATAAAAGTGGTCTATATGCAAATGTAAAGTTATTATTCTTCGTGAACTTGTAAGAGCTTTCAAATCACATTTTAAAATAATTTTTCTGAAAACTGCAAATCCACAACAAAAGTCAATATAATTAACATTGACGTCTGAGGTATACAACCTCTGATGTATTTTCAAGTTGTGACCTTCCAATAGATACCGTGTTCTCAGGTACATCATGTACAAGGTGGCTAAACAGTAACTGCTAAACAGTAACTGTTTAGCCATGTTGTTGTATGTGACATTTGTTTTGCTCAATTTATCTTCAGCACACGTTTGTAGCCATCTTTATTCAGTTATTCAATCATTTCCTGTGCAGTATTCATTTCCATTAGTTGTATTTTTGTATGGTTTAACTGTAATTTTCTGTTGGGTTCACATATCTGACTTATCACATATCCTCTGCCCCGAGTGAGTCAGATATGCGAAGTTGCATTGCACAATAATAGCCTACCGAGGCCAGCGGTCGCTATTCCAAGGTGTAAATAAGCAACTGTAATCGCGTTATAATTAAGGGTATAGCAGTACGCATGTAATGTTTATAGTCTACTTGAAGTTTATTTTACGAAATTGAGTTTGACACCATGGCAGGTGACTCACCTTAGTGAGGTTGATCTCTTTGATAACACACTGTTGGCCGCTCTCTTTAATCCTTGCCAGCAAAGCCTTTCCATAGGAGCCCTCGCCAATCTTCTTAAGGATAGTGTACTTCTCCATGCCCTTGACCCATACCACGCTGTGCCCTATCGTGCAGGCAAGCGGCAAATCTGGTGAAAATGTCATGAATGTGTCATCTGCTTGTAAATACCTTCTCATGCTTTGCAAGCGGTCTTCCATTTTGCAAGGAAATGTAAAAAAATATTTTCCAGCAAATTGTCAAAACTTTTGTTTAAAAGCAGATCTTGTGCTTGACTAGAGTTTAATTCTCAGTCCAACTTAGTTGTAAATAAGTACTGTACTATATTATGCAAGTTGCAGTACTCATGACAAAACAAAGACCCCCCTGGCCGCCTTTGTCTCCCTAGTGGCAATGTTTTACACTGCACAAGGTATTCATTTAAGGTTAAGTCGACCTAGGGGAGGCCCAGGACCGGTTCAGATAATCGTCACCGGAGTTGGCAGTGAGAGGTAATCGAACCCGGGTGGCCAGGTTCGTAACGCAGTTCGCTGACCACGACAACACCACTCCCGTGAGAGTAGTGTACAACATGCAAGTGCATTAGCTACAGTACTATCATGCAAACGGGTGTTGATCTGGGTACTTAATTGAATGGAAAGGTTTCGCAATTTAACCATTGCTTAAGATCAGGATTGTGAGCTCGTGATTACTTCCCATGCAGAAGGATGTTCAGTGAACTCTGCATCAGGCTAAATGTTGCCTTTATCTCAGCCAAAAACTGAACCACTTCAGAGCGTGCGATAAAAACATTGCATCATTAAATGCACCTATGTTTGCCAGTATTCTTAAGGTTTCTCCACCACAAATCCCATTTACGACTATAATGAGCAAAGAATGTATGTGTCCCGCACGTGACGTCACTCCACATCGAACAGCCTCCCTAATTAATAATCATGAAGAGGTGACGTCTTCCAAATGGACACCCCCCTCCATCAATAATAATTAGCGGGTGACGTCACTCCACATGGGGGCGCGAGGCGCCTCCTCCCCCCTCTCTGCGTCTACTGACAACCCTAACTACAAAGGCAGAACCCTCACGTCCCGCATATCTGTCACGCTATTGAGACATCGAAGTAAAAAGGACGTCAACACATTGCCAGTGAACTCAAGCACGTACACCAAGCTCTCAAAGCTAATGGTTACTCCGACTACACAATCCGCAAAGCCATCACTCCAACCATGAAGAAGGATACTCTTGAGCCATTCAAAACCATCACCTTACCCTACATTGTGGGGGTCACAAAAAAAGATCTCCAAAATCCTGAATCAACACAAGATCCAGGTCCGATTCTACACAGTACATAAAATCCGTGATCTGGTCCCGTCTGTAAAAGATGTGATTCCAGACATACAGTACCCTGGCATTTACAAACTAAGTTGCTTCTGTGGTAGCAGTTACATTGGAGAAACCAAACGGCATGTTTTGGACCGCATCCGTGAACACAAAGCAGACCTGAAACACGGTAGGACGAACACCTCAGCCGTGGCAGACCATTGTTATTATTCAGTGGGCTCACATGACATTGACTTCTCCAAGACGGAGGTTCTCTGCAAGCCATCTGGCTACCATGAGAGATTCGTTCATGAGGCCATCCACATATACCAACACAGAGACAATTTCAACCGAGAAGATGGATTACGGCTCAGCAATCATTGGAAGGATGTGATAAACCATTTCGGGTCTTGATTGTGTTCACGTTTACGGTGACTTTCAGAACGCATTCCATTTGCTGGCATTGACTATATAGCTTTTGTATTATCTTCACGGATCGGAGTCTTTGCCCCGCCGCAAGTTTCTTGCTACCACTCTCCCATTGACATATTTCTTTGCTTCCTCTTCGTACCTTTCACGCGACGGTCAATGGTATGGTGTATAATAGATGTACAATAATAAATAGTATAATAGCATAAGGCACAAAGGTTTTCTGCTAACCTTCTGGCTACTATCAAAGGGTTGTTCATGAAGCCATCCAGATACATAAACATAGACATAACTTCAACCGAGAAGATGGATACAAATGGAGCAATCATTGGAAGGATGTTATTAACCAGGTAAAACGTTAACTGTCTATGGTTGTTCCATCATATTTACCGAGCACTAGTCTATTCTGCCGAGTTAATTGCATCCCCAGCGTTTGGCAGTACTGCTACTGTTGCTTTGTTGTCTTTCATTGGCTTTACTGTAGTGGTGTTGGCTTTTTTGCACTTCTCCAACATCTGTTACTGTTGCTTTGTCGTCTTTCATTGGCTTTGCTGCAGTGGCATTGGTTTTCTGCACCTTATTAGCCCCGCCCACTCCCCCCCCCCGCCCAGTAGCATTCCACGCAACGCTACCCTCCCCCTACTCCCCCCCACCCTTGCTCCTCCCCCCTCTCTAACCTATATAACCCCTTACCACAGCATCTCTCCCACTTCAGCTAAAATGTTCTTGCTGTAGTTTTCACACCCGATGATGATTGCTTGTGTTGCAATCGAAACGCCATGAGAATTTGTATGTTTTAGTTTTATTCTTTTATTATTTCCCTTCTACGTGACTTTACTGAAAGAACCAAGAATATGAATGTCATCAAGCCCGGATCGATATATCGCATCCTCCTGATAAGACGCACTTTTTATTTGGTGAATTTAAAAGCAAAAGGTTCTGAAGCGTCTGAATAATCAGCTATGTGCGTGTGTGTCCAGATTTGTAGAACTTTATATACTGACACCCCGGCTGGTCCACGTTGCAGCTGCGTCTTGTTTTTTCCGGAGCGTCTTATAATCCGGGCAATACGATATAATTTGCATCGCGCGACCATCTGCTTTACCCTCAATAACGCTATTATTATTTCCTTTTCGCAATCTGTATAGTGTATTTGCACTCCGTTTAAGGATTAAGTATGGTGTGGATAAACACGTGAAACAACTCAATGCAATTACCGTGCTCTGTTTAGCCCCGCATTCAACATTGACAGTATTGGTTTTCCTAGTGCATTTAGTATACCGCCTTGTGCGCAGCCACTCACGACGGCGTTCGCACTCGCCTCGCGACGATTGTGACCAATCACGAGCGCGCACATAGGAGACGCAGCCTTATACAGGGAACGGAATAAAATACCCCGCCCGTTGTCGTGGCAACAGACGCGCAAACAACCCAATCGACGGGAAATTTACAAAGAATAAACGCACACGCCAATCTAAATATTAATTAAGAAATAAGACAAGCGCGTTAGTGAGGAAGACGCGAGGTTTGTAATGTTTGAGTACACATGTTTGTTGTTAAATATCTATAATGTATTTAGGATTACCTTGCTGGCCGTACGGAGTCCGCCCTGATGAGATGTAGAGTCGGCGCGTGCTGATTGGATGAGAAGCGCACAGGCCGAGCTGGGCGACGATACTGATTGGCTGAGACGAGTCGGCGACGCCCAATGAACAGGCTCGTCTTGAAATAAATGTTAATTAGTCCATGCTTATGCGTGGGAGGAGATACAAAACGTCGTCATGGTTAATCCACTGCTGGATGATGGACTTCCCACACCTGTAATCGATTGTGGGTACTTAATCATTCCGGTCAATTGGAGGGCTGGTAGCCCAAGATGCGTGAGCACAATACAGTACACCATTGCATTTTGTTGCAATACCCTCGCTGAGAAACATAGCCCGTATAACACCTGTTATTACAATGTTAGTCACCCACCCTTGCCCCATCCGGGCTTATTTTGCTTATATTCTGACATCTGACTAGATAGAACGTAATTCTGGAGATGTGGTCATAGATTACAATTTAGTGCATAGTAGTATGGGAATGTCAGTCATTTTAATATATATTTTGCAGGATGTCATCCCTATAAAACAACCGGAGTTTGTGTAAGCGCAGGCCTCTATAATCTAGCCGCTCAGTAAATTACGACACGTTCCGGGGCACCACAACTGAGGCACGCGCCACTCATGTTCTAGGGCCTTGGTTGGACCCATTCCATTGGTTGGGCCCCTTCGCATTCACGCTCCGGGGCCCACTGTTTTGGTTGGGCCCCTTCCCGTTCTGGGCTGCCCAACCCCCTCGCCGAACTTGTTTGTGTAACTCATGTTCCGGGGCACCCATACCATAGCTTAAGTCATGCAGGTTCCGGGGCCCGCATTACCCTGAGCACCGCGGACCTGCGCAAGGCAGAGCGCTCCGTGCGAGCGCATAGGGCGGTTAGGGTCTGTGTCGCTTTCTGCGGAGAAACCCACTCGAGACATATCCCGCGCGTATCGCTGATATTCCCGCAGCTGTGTCAACGGGGAGTTCCTTTATGACCGGTTTGCCATCGTTGTAAAACAAAATCACGCTGTAGTTTTTTCGAGTTGACAGTCTTTAGTTTGTGTGCATTGCAATACGTTAACACTGGGGCTGTGTGCATCTGCGTATCGGACTGCGTTTGGTAGCTCCGACTCTTGATAAGATAGGGTTCACACGTTGGATGTAGGCTTCCAGTGGTATAAGTAGCGTACATTTGTCAAAGACGAGAATTGCATGAGCGTGGCTGACCTGCACTCGACAGTGCATCGGCTTTGTGGAATCTGCGCGCAACAGACGGGGTTTAAAGGGACGCATTCTCCTGCAGTTTATCAGCGGGAGCAGTTGCCACTGTAGCCTGTAACAGGCAAGGGGGCTTCATCCCGGCGGAGTGGACGGACCAAAGCGGCTGGAAAACTCGGAGCGGACTCCTCCTGATCCCTTCTACTGCTGCTACTGCTGCTGGACTCATCCAGACATGCCTGTCGCAGTGCCCCCAGACAAGGTAAGAAGATCGCTATGATGAGCCAACCGTGTGTCAGTCTGGCTTGGGCTGTATCCCCATATGCTGAGTTGTTGCCGTTGGTCTCGTTTCCTGAACCTCGTTCGTCTATCAAATCATGTTGCTGGATGTCAATCGTTCGTTTCTCAGTTTCGCTGGTCCGGGTGAGGGTCGCGGCGGCAGCATGTTGAGTAGTGGCGGTCCCCACCTCCCTTTCCCTGGCGACGGACTCTAGCTCCTCCTGGGGAATTCCCAGGCGTTTCCAGGCCCGTCAGGCGACTACATCGTCCGGCCAGCGTGTCCTGGGCCGGCCCCAGTGGGACGTTGCTGCTGCTCGGTAGAGTTCCATGGGGAGTCAATCGGGGGGCATCCCTACCAGGTGCCCGATCCACCTCAACAGGCTCCTCTCGATCAGGAGGCGCAGCGGCTCGACTCTGAGGCCCTTTCGGATTACCGAGCTCCTCACCAGAAACCTAATTTTGGCCCCCTATAAACCGCGAGCTTTGTTCCAGAACTTCGCTTCCGCTTCACTACCATAGGACGGCGCGGTGCCCGCAACACTGCGGACGCCGCAGCGATCCGCCGGCCGACCTCCCGCTCCCACTCACCGTCACTCGCGAACGAGACCCAAAGGACTTAAACTCATCCGCTAAGGGCAGCTGTCCCCCCTCACCTGGAGAGAACACTCCACCGTTTCCCGGGAGTGAACCATGATCTCAGATTTGGAGGTGCTGATCCTCATCCCAGCCGCTTCACACTCGGCATCAAAACCGTTCAACGTCGTCTGCAAAAAGCAGCGACGCCACCTCCATGCCACCGTACTGGATACTCTCCATACCTCCATTTAAATCACAAGCAGGAGTTGAGACGAGACGCACCCTTAGCGGAGTCCAACACCCACACTGGACACCAAGCGTACGGACACAGCTCTCACGCCGGGAATCGAGGGATCGGATAGCGCACAAAAGTGGCACCTGTACATCGTACTCCCGCAGCACCAAGGATATTAATCGTAATGAGTCGTTACTTTTATTATTTTTGAACCATTAATAAGTGCCTCTTTTTGGACCGTTATTTGTCATTGGTAAAGGTGCAGCCCCGCAATTGCTGGCTCTCGTCACTGCTGTCGGAAAGATTTCCGCTAGGAGTTTGAGAGAGCTCCATAGGGTAATTTACGTGCTCTACCACGCTTACCAGACCGTTGTGTACCCACACTTTACCCCACCATACGCGACCCGCTGAACTGTGGTGTACCCATTTAAACTGCTGGGTGGACAGGTGGGGGATTTTTTTGAATGTGCATTGTTTAACCTGCCGCAACGGGAGAACGAACCAGTTACTTCTGGATTATACGTTAAGTGTACTGATAATTGCACCACGGCGGCATCCCCATGATCTCATAAGGTCCTTAATTTAATCATCTCAAATATATCATTCAACATCCTATTGTTATTGTAATAGTCTCAATAACAATCGTATCAATAATAATCGTATCACCATCATCGTCTTGTCTGTCATCTCATAATCTGAATCATACCATCAACCGTCATCATAATTATAATCGTATCAGCATGGTGACCTGTCATTTCAATGGTTTAACACAAATCCTGCCACTGATGTAATGGTACAAGAATGTATTCATTTTCTCCCGTACAGACCGAACTCTAAGATCTGTACAAATCGTATTTGTGCCATCAAGCACAGCCTCGTGTGTATCAGCTGTGGCTCCCAGGCAGGAGTTACTGTCGTCCAGGGAAGATGTGGTAAGGTTTGATTAATGACCTTAATTATGTCACGCAAACCACTGGGAGCAGTTTTGGCTTTTTGTTTCAAATGTTTTTTTTTTCTAATTACACAAAGGGTAGTGCTTTCAAAACACGCCGTGTGATCTCGTTATTGGAGATGTCAAATATTCGCTGTGGCTATTTACCCGAACGGTGAATTAGAAACTTTTAACGAGTTCATTTTACATTTTGAGCCTGCATCAACATTGCACTGTGTGAAGCAGCAGACTTGTATTTAATTGATTGTGCACGTGTATGTTAATCTGCAGCACCGTGAAGTCACTTGGCTATTAAGCATGATTATCCTCATTTACATAATCCTGCTGGACTTGCAAACGCAGCCCACAAGTCTGCCGTGAATGCGCATATTTAAAAGCAGTCTTTGGATTAATGACAAATCTATAACATTTTTTAGATGCGACAGTATTTTTAATGACTGTAATTAAAATACTGTACCGATGAGTATTTTCATTCGAGGCTTATTAGGAAATCAGTCATGGGTGATAGGGAGTACTTCATATGAAATCTCCATCGGAGACGGATATATCCAATTGAGGCTATAATCAACAGACTGACAAACCAGTTTGGTTCTGCATAATCGAGTGGAATGTCTAGAGTTATGTGCAATATTGGTAGTCTAGTCTATATTGTAGTGCCTGTAGTGGTGTCTCGCGCTAGTTTATAGTGATAGTCGATAGGGCACTGCATTAAAAATATATTACCGCCTTATTTCCCCAGATCTGCTTGGAAGCAGTCCCTAATTGACTTGCCAATGGAATTTGCCTTTGTGAGAGCCATTTATTAACTCCTGAAATGCTGACAGTGTAAAGCTAAGGGGCAAAACTCACCTCTGTGTCATTTTAACAATGAGTTTCATACGTCACAGCCACTTTTTTAAGTGGATTGAGAGCAGGAGCTGTGCGTGGTTTTCATGTATCTGGAATGTAATTTAGAAATGTGCTTAAATGGTGCCCGAGGTGGCTAGGAAAGATAATGTAGGAAGCTTTCTGAGTGCACTGAGCCAGCAATTCACAGACCCTGGATTCAAACCTTAGGTTGACCTCTGGGATGAAAAGGCCTTAATGTTCTGTGAGTGTGATGGTCTCTGACCAGTCTGCAATGTTTGCACTAAATTTCATAATATATGGCTGTTTGCGTTTCATATAGCTGTACCTAGCCGACATGGTACAATAATAAAACAGTGCTGGAGGTAAATAAATCTAAACTTTATTTTGCAGCAGAAGGACACGTTATGTAGGGAAAATAGCATGAATCTGCTACAGTATTGATTATTGTGGTGGGATGTGTGCCTTGGTATCTCCATCCTGGGCCAGTCTTTTCCAGATGCCATCAGTGTTACCCTCACAATGGAACGGAGCTGCTGCACTCTAACAAATGGCATGAGTGGACTGGCAGATATAAATTTAAATACTGTACTTACCAACTGTGGTGAGCCAATGAGAAAGTGGCTTTTTTACAGTAATTGCATTTAATATGTACATTTTTAAAACTTCAACGTAAATATTAACTTCTAAAATGACAACGGTCGTAAATTCATCAGAAAACATTGTTTTAAGTCACGATAGATATTGTATCTCCGTGTTACAGTAAAGCTTTCCAAGTTCAGCAATTTCCTCCATTCACAGACTCGCAAGATATCCATTAATCAATCTAATCATCATAATATACTGAGCACGTCTCATTATTGGCAGACAAGAAAAACTGGACTTTAGCGGGGAGGTGGGGCACTGTAGTGAGTTTTCAACGACTAGCTTTGAGGGAAGCAATCACATGGATACTGAATAGAGAGGCATCTTGCTAAAATGTTTTCATGCTTCATGGGAACTCTGAAGTCTGTTGCTGAGTCAGCTGAATAAATGTAGTTCTGTTATTGTAGAATAAGTGGTGAGTCACTTTGGGTTCTCATCAATTTTCTCAGATGTTCAATCTTTTACAGAGCCCTTCCAAAGTATTTTAAGGTTTTTTTCTTAACATATTTAAAAAATACCAAAGTGTTATATAAAAAAAAATCACAAACAACAGTAATCTTAGAGGTGGCTCAAGCGATACCACGGTTCTGGACTTGTGCCGCTGACAGACTCGAGGTTTCTCAAGCTGTGCAGTGGATAAGTGGAACTTAAAAGCAGAAACACTTAGGTCGGAAAGAGTTTTTGCATGTTCAAGGCAAGCGTGACTAAGCCCGGTCACAGTGTACCGTGCAGAAACGTCTGCAAACAGGTGCCTCGGCTTGATTTGACTGTACTCGACTGTGTGGTCTGTAGTGCAGTGGATGTGCTACAGAATGGATCATGTGTCTCCAGCTGATCTGGCAGAAGTTTGGTTAAAAATAACGGTCTTTTACCCTGTCTGTGTGTTTAGGATAAAACAAAAATCGAATTCCCAGCTCTAGAAATCTGTCATTCTCTTATGTGCGTGTTTAATTTTTTGTATCAATACATGAATTCAAAATTGAGTGGTAATATTGACAGGTTTTTCCGAAAAGGCTTGTAATGTGTTTTTCTCCAATATTTATTTGGTAAGAGCGGTTATTTTTCCTTCTGCTTATTTTAGCTTGACTGGCTGATGTGCGCAGCATCGATAGTAATATTAGGAATGGGAACTCCAGCATTATCAACAGTAATAAAACAGTACTAGTGTCTACAATCAAACAATAATTATTTGCTTCTCAAATGTGAACCTTAATAGTTAATGAAAGATGTCTGCTGTCAGGGAAAACACCACGCAGCCATGTCAAGGTAATAAAATATGAACTAAGGAAAATAATGTGAGCTACCATATAAAAAGGGAAAAATAAATATTGTTTGAAAAATGTAAACCCCTGTACTGGCTCCATTTGAGGTTTTTTTTTTCTTTTTCCCACGTTATCTCCGAGGGAGCTAATTACACAGAAATTGTTTAAATAAATAATGCACCGCAGCCAATAGGCTTACACCCACCCAACTTGACAGACTGTGCACATTATACGTAATTTAAGTAGCCACACTTGGGTTGCAAGACATTTTAAAGTTTCATATTTTTATTATGTGGCATTTGCACGTACACAACTGCGAGGGGTACCCTGCGTGAATATGCAGCGCCCTGCCCTATTTTAGTGCTCTCACCTTTTTTCTCGGTGTCATGACCTTTCTGCAACCCTCTGCCATTTATATTGCCAGTTTAAATGCTACCTTTGCTGCTCATTGTTCCCCTCTATGTTCC